CTCCAACCAAAAAAGCCCAGGCCCAGATGGATTCATAGCAGAATCCTACCAGACTTTCAGAGAAGAACCAGATGTCTTTTTATACTGTAGTCATTTATAATTTCCTGACCCATTAGACCCATTCCCGATACTGCCAGTGAGCAATGAAGCTTTTTTACTTCTAAAAGGTTTCTCTTTTAATATCAAATGATCCATGTCACAAAAAAAAAAAAAAAATCTAAGACTTCAAAGCAATGGCTATGTATGAGCCTGACATTTTCTGTAGATAAATTAACTCATTTAGTGCTGCAATATGATGAGATAGGGATCTTCACTCCTTTTAAGATGTGAGGGCTCAACACAGTGATGTAAATTAAGTAGTGGAGGCAAGACTGGAGGTCACATTCTGCTTTAAATGTCCCTGCTAACTACAGTATTATGTGGCTCACATGAATAGTTGCAACCAGTGGGCTTAAACACATAAACAGAGATGCCAGATATCAGGAAACATGTAGTCCGTGGTCCCCACCAAAGAAATCTTTTCTAGAACTGTCCTATCCCATATGCTTGCTGCATATTGAGAGTGAGCACTTTGAATGCAGCTAAACATAAAACAAATGGCAATATGAAATACAGCTGTTGAAGATGCATTGTAAAAGAATACAAACAGCTCAATATTTTCAATGTTAACTAATTTAACATGCTGATGTATGAAATGATTTATTTTGAATATGCCAAGTGAGCTATTTTAATGGATTACCACTTCTGAATGTGGCCACTAGAAGATAATAAGATTCCTATGAAGACCATATCATGGTGCTCTGGAAGGATGCTGGACACTCGAGTGAGGAGCAGAGGAATTCCAGCAATGTGACAAACCCTGGCACACCATATTATTTAGCCAGCAGAGTCCGTCAGTATATGCAACTCTTGAAATACCAAGTGGCAATCTAAAAGTCACAGATGTTACCAGCTAGTTATCTAACGCCTGTAATACAGACGTCTGCTGTAACCTACTTGCCAGATATTTCTACTAGTATATCTGTATTAGGAGAAATATCTGTATATTTCTACTAATATTGTCAAAGTGTCTCAAGTTACAATTTTCCTTGTTCTGTTACGATACAAACTTTCATGAAATGGTTACCATGTTAGAACACAGTTCAGGGATAACTCTGTTCCTGGGCCATGACAACTCATATTTGGCTTCAGAATAAACCGTCTCTTACTCTCTTTAAAAAGAAAATCAAGTATCTATTTTTCTGATATATCCTGTCTGATATATTATTTACCCAACAGAGCTCTTCAGTATATGCAGCAAGACAATTTAAATATAAAATATTTATATTGTGGTGTTCCCTAAATGCTTAGGAAAATAGCTCATAACTTGTAGCTTTCTCTTTCAAACTATAAACCAGAGTCCTGACAGGACTTGAAGGAATTCAAACTGGGAGTGCTCTGAGGAAAACCCCATATCTGACTGAATGTTCAGCACATTGCTCATCTCGATTGCCTAATAAATGTCCCATAACTCCTCACCAAATACATGAAAATGGCAGGACTTCTGAGTTAACAGTTTACACTGATACAATAAAAAATAAGGCAAATAGCACACGTATGAGATTGGTAAGGCCCCTTAAAAATCTATCTTTGGAGTTTCACTTTATCCCTCTAAATTGGGTACTGAACTTTGGGCCTCACATAGGCTCTGCAAGTACCACTCTATTCCTAGCTTATTCTGATTCCTCTTGTTTCTCTTCTCTTCTCTTTTGAGAGCAAGTCTTGGTATTGCTTAGGTTGTCTCTGAACATGGTAGTCAGTCCTATCTCAGTTGCTCTAGTGGCTGGGATTAGAGGAGTGCATCCCCACTCCCACTTTCCTGTCCTCGATAGTCTAGTCTCAGTGTTCACAAAAGGTGCCTAAAACAAGAGTCATCCTGACTTACACAGGACTTTGAACACAATCTTTCGTATACTGTAGAAAAATATGAGGAAGCAGGAGGCTGCAATAATGGATCTCAGAAGTCTTCATGGTGAGTAGAAAAATCACATAAGCTTAGTTGTTGGGCACTGAGTTAACTTAAAGAAATCTTTCCATAGTCAACATTTGTCTTTGGTGTCTCTTCCAACTCACCAATCTGGAAGGGTAGGCACTGTATGGTTTGTAGTATGGTATCTGAAAACAGCAGGGCAAACTCTGAGAGGAACAAATGTAGACTGTGTGATTGAGTATGTAAATTCACCACATTGAAAAGTAAATGTATAAAGTGATTTGACCTTAGGACAGGGAGTCACAAAAGCAGCTCCATGTGTAATGGATCACCACAGGGCAAGGTGGAAACCACTCTTAAAGTTCATGCTATGGCATGAGGTGGGTGGGTACCAAATAATATGTGCTGTTCTTTCTCATGATGAGGTTGGAAGACCATGTTGGGAGGAATTCAGGGAAACAAATGGAGGAAAACAACACTTAGGAATAGCTGAAGGAATTACAGACACTTTCTGCAGAAGATATACTAGAAACCTGCACACCCTGGAGAGCTTTCTACTTGAGGTGGAATGCACACTTAACTGTTTTCCACAAGGCACTTCTCTGAGTAAAGAAAGGAGTCACAGCTATCAGACTGATGAAAGAACTGGTCCTCCACTCTGGAAGCATATGCAGGCAATACTCACACAATATTTCACAGAGCTTAAAAGTCCGTGGCTTAGAAGTTGTAAAGACCCAGATGTCATCTTATAAAAGAAAGCAGTTTTTTTTCCTTGGATGTCAAAAGTAATATTCTTGTCCTGGAAAACTGACTGTACTTATCACAAGCAGAGGGATTGGGGAGGAGTCTGCAGTCGATAACCTGAAAGATCTTTCCCCAAACTGTGCTTTAATTCCAAAGGGGTTTCAAAGCAATTTCACAACATCAAGTATTTAAAATATAGGTTGTTATTGCTCTTTTTGTGAAAGGGTGAAATAACAGTGATGCCCATTACACTGTGGCAGTTATCAAACAGATAACTGTGGCAGGATCAAACAGATCATTAAGGTGCCAACCTGACTTCCTGGATGTATCTGAAAAGATTTCTTGTGTCACTAACTATACAACTGTCATGGTAGTGAATTTAAGATTATTTCTCATCAGAAACAGAAATTTGTTCTCAAAAGTTGCTTTTCAAAAGCTTCGCTACAGCCTAAGTCCCAGGTGCAGGAGCCCCCCCCCCCCCCAGTATTTGTAAGACATTTATATTAGGTTACAAAGATTTTTCTAAGGAGCTAGCCAGCCTTTGTAGCAAGTGTTCCTATGAGTACCCTCACTGACAGTGGGGTAGGATTTCTTTGTTCTGTGGACCTATGTTCTAGGTATCACCAGTGCTTAAACCCTAAGAGCTTTTACATGGGTTCTGGAGGGAAAACATGTAAATCTTAACTCTCTCTCTAGAAGGAAAGCAGTAAATCAAATCATATGAGTGGTGCCTGTTTCACTCACCTTAAAATGCTTTCCACCATTCTGAGAAATCATTCCTTAAATATTTGAATTTCATCTTTAAATTCTTATGTCTATTTATGGCAATAATTTTGAAAGACACCCCCCACGACTCTGAAATAATTACAGTCACCTTATATTTAAAATTATTCCAGTATTTCCAACCTACATTCATGTTCAACTATAATAAGGTTTTAATAAATGTCTGTTGCCAAACAAGGCTTTGCTGTTTGAAAATGAAACCTAAGTGTCCAAAGGGCTGTGAAGCTCAAGAAGCTCAAGAAGGCATCTTGTCTGCCTTGTGGCTGAAACGGTGTGGCTGTGTCAATGATTCATTCATACAGTCCTAATGATAGACCTATCCAATAAAGGCCCCAGTTTAATGATTGTTAGTGTTCTATAGGACACAGCTGAATCCTCAAGTATTATTGCATCTTCATTTTCCTACTGTATCCACTTCTCATGGTTCCAATTTCCTATTCAAACTGATCTTTCAAAATGCAAAGGAAAAAAATCTACCATCAAAGGCAGATTTAAAAAGTGACTTGGAGGGTTCATTTTTCCCACCCCCAGATCGATAGACCTCCAGAAACTTCTGTCAAATGCCAACATTCCATCATGCCTTTCCCTTAGTTCTTAGCAAAGCAAAAGCCACCTAGACATGAAGGAGCCACAAAGAATCTCAGGGTTATTTTTAAATTATACTTTCCATTCCTTGCTAGCTATAAACAAAAGCTGATGAGGAGACTTATTTAGGACAGTGTTTTTCAAACTTTAATGCAACACAACCATCATGAAGACTTAAGATGACACAGATAGGCAGGCCTTATCTGTAGGGTGTCTGATTTAATGGACTGAAACAGGGCCCCAGAATTTGTGCATCTGATGAGTTCCCCGGCAATGCTGCTTCTGGCCTATAGCTGCAGGGCCATATTTCCTTTCTTAACTCAGACCATCCATGGCTGAGGTTCTTAAGTCATATTCTAGACTAGTGTCTGAAACTTCAGAAGCCACATCCTGTTCTAACTATGCTGTACAGAGTATTAATGAAGTTGTCCATGGCCATGTTGCCCCAAACACACCTTATGCCATCAAAATATTAGTAAAGTATACAACTCTCCAGAAAGAAGAGAGCAAGTGCTGTGTGTGGTGGTACACATATGTGTTTGTATGTGTAAGCCATATGACAACCTTGAGCATCATTTTAAAAACTGCCATCTACAACCTTCAAGACAGGGTCTCTGCTCTGGAGCTCATCAGCTGGCTGGCTAGGGAGCCCCATGGATACTTCTGTTTCCACCTCCTCAGTGCTAGAACTACAAGTGTGTTAACGTGGGTGCTCAGGGCTAAGCTATGGTCCTCATGCTTGCAAAACAAACACTGTCCCAACACAACTATTTCCCCAGCACCATCGAGCTGCTTCTTCAGTTGCTCCTCTATGGGCTGTAAATTTCTTAGGAAGGACTTAAGAGTATAATTCAGGAGAAGACTGTTGGAAAAGTTTCCTTGGTGGGGTTGCCTTTAACAGAAAGATCGCCATACTCACCAGAGAGGAAATATGCCCAGCCGTGTGGTGATAAAAACCATGGCAAACATGACAAACAGAAGGTCACACATTTTCTGAAATTTGGCATAATTTGCCATTTTGGCAGCCTACAAGAGGAAGGAATGCAACTTATCAATTAAATTGATAAAAGAAAAGTTTCCTTCATATGCATGAGCCCCCAGTGAGGTTTATCAATGAGATACAGCTTACCACATGCATAAGAATGTCTTAAAAAAGGAACATGCCACATGCCAGCATTTATAAATTACTCAAAAGTTTAGTGAAATACAACATTAACTATATGCAGAACTATGATTTTCACAGATTTAATAAATTATTTAGAAACCTAAAAAATTCAATTATATGGCTGATTTCAGGAAAATGGAGAGGACAAATAAACTTTTGCATCATGTGATGTTATCAAGTCAGAGATATCAAGACAGAAATCACGTAACAGGTCAATATGGAAAGTCTTCACTGTGCAAGGCCTTCACTAAATGCAAGGCCACAGACTACACAGAGTCCACAGAGCTTTTTCCGTGTTTGTCTTCTGTCCCCTTTGAGGTTTGTGCTCACTTTAACAATCACAGAGGTGCTGTGGGGAGACATGTTCCCAGCATATTCTTAAAAACTTTGAGATGAGTAAAGTGTCATGACTACCATGTCAGTGAATCTATTTCAGCAGAATTTTGAACCATATTACAGGCTCATTTTCCAGTTAAAATTTATTAATGTTTCAATGTCTTCAGGAAATACTTCATGGTTGATGTTGACCACAGCAGTTTCAGTGACTATATATGTACACACACACATATATATATTATATGTATATGTATCAATATATATTAATGTTATAAATTAGTCTAGAGAGGCAACCACACTGCTTTCTCTTCTCTACCATCACTTTGAAATGATTCTAAGCAAGACCTGGTGGGCCTGGAAATGGATTGTTTTTTCTTCCTCACTTCTTGCAGGTTTGCAGAGTCCACAGCATCTAAGTGCTGTTAGAAGCTGTAGATCTCTTTTGCACACACAACATTACTTTCTATGACTTGGAAAATTAATTACTGGAAAAGACTGTTGATAGCATCCTTGGAGGCAGTCATTTAATGGTGCTAAGCAGTGCACAAAGCTATGAGAGAAATGTGTCTTAGAAGGAAATATCCATCACCTGAATGGAAGTTAAAATTATGAGCTTTTAATTTCACAAATACTTGAAGTATAACACCATGAATTACATTAAACAAAAAGTACTTTCGGACTTCTTCTGGCTAGGCATTGCCAACAAATCCATTTCCTTTTAATTCACCCACCAATAGCGACAAATAAGCAACAGCACCAACTTGACAGAGATGTGTATGCTGTAAACCCTATTTTTCAATTTCATTAATTGGACATTTCCAAGCATTATCTATGATGTCAAAAAGCAATCTAGGTTACGAAAACATTTTCCTTTTAAGCCACATACTTGGATTCTTGGATTGACTTATCTTTTTTTGATGAATTCAATTTGGATGAATTCAATTGGTGGATTCAACCACTATCTCCTGTACCACAGCTCTAACCAAGCTGAATGCCAGAGATTTCCACAGGAATTAACATTGGCTGCAGGTCCAGGACTGATTTCTATATGTAGGCTGCAGCATAAATGTCCACTTCTAAGCACGTATAGGATAAATCAAATTATAATAGAATTTCAGAAGACTTCCTTCCTATTGCAGATATTTCACCTTTTAAAAACACCTTGAATGAAGTTTAGCCTGAGTCACTTAATAATCATACCCACAAGCTATTTTTTAACTTACGAAGTGTAGACAGCCTATCTTTGTCTTATAACTTTTAGGGACCAGAATCTTTGGTGAGGTTTTACACTCAGTTCAAAACCTTAACTCATTGCCTCTATTAAAGATTAAATGTATATGTACATTTGTGGCTCCTGTTGCAGTAACAGATCATCAAGGAGACCTTTGTCTTTACAGCAACAGAACCATGGACCAGTAGGAAAAAAATGACTCCAAGAGTCACTTCTACATGAACTCTGTACTCTTTTAAGTTAATTTTGACCAGTTATATAATTTCTTAGTATAAAGTGATAAGACTTACTGAAGCACATAACTTTACTTAGCACAATTTTGAAAGTGATAAATTCCTTTTTTTTTTTTTTTTTGGTTCATTCAAAAATGTATTGAGCAGCTAAGGATACAAAGGTATTAAAACACGGTCAGAGATGAGGCATATGCACAAGTGTAGAAAGCAGTAAAGTTCTCTGCATCACAAGAGTGAAAGAAAAATGCTTTAGGAAAACAAAAGATTGCTTCCAGCATGCAAGGCAGGGTGGGGGGTGGGGTGGATGGCCAATCAGGAAAGGGGATTGAGATTAAAATAGAAGACTTCAGTCTGGATTGTTGATGGTACTTGGTATGGGCTATATTGTTTTTCCTTTTCCTCTTTCCCCATCTTTGGGCTTAATTTACCAGTAGTGCCCAGTACTGTTTAATGTTCTTTTTCTATACTTGCTTGCATTTCTGCCTTAATGTCTTCTACAGAACTAGGTCCTTTTGGGGTTTTAGGAGTTTTTTCCTGTTTTTTGAAGGACTCTTGACCTTTTGATCTTGGTGTTGATGGTTTTAAGTCTTTTCCATTTTGGCTTGATTTTTGTATATTTTTGGCTGGGGTATCTCATACAGATTTCTTCACTGGAACTTTTTCTTCAGTTTCTTCTTCATCAAAATCATCATCATCATCTGCATCCTCCTCATCATCTTCATTGATTTTTTTTCTGTGGAACTTTGTTACCACCTCCAGGAGCAGATCACTTGCTTAAGAGCTTTATACCCTCCTCTTCTTCATCTTCTGACTCTGCATCTTCCTCTACAGCTACTAGGTGCTGTCCACTAATGTGCACAGGCCCTGAACCACACCTCAACTGTAAGACCACAGGTGGTGTAATTTCAAAGCCCCCAAGAGAAAATGTACAGACATTTTCAAAGTTTTTAGTGTCACTTTAATAGTTCATTGCTTCTGCCTCTATGATGTGTAATTTGTCTTTTGCCCCTGCCCCTAAACTAACCATTCTTAGTGACAACTGGTGTTCATTCTCATCATTATCCACCTTAAAGTGATAATCTTTGTCAGCTTTTAGTTCACAACCAAAAAGGTAGTTCTGTGGCCTAAGAGGTCTCATGTCCATTGAGTCTTCCATGAGGTGGAGGCGTGTACTTCGGTGTGAGAGAAGTTGGACGGAGGACACTGCCTACTGCTCCTCAGAACAGACACACAGGACGGAATCACGCCAAGGGAGTGATAAATTCTTTACAAATCTTTAGTATAAAATGTAGTATTCATATACCCTTTGCATTGTTAAAACCACTAGGATGATATGCATACTGGTAACAAAAAATCAAACTGCTTAATTTTATTATGACTACTACACTGGGTTATATGCAGTTTTCAAATAAATCAGTGTGACACTTAGAAAATATATTAAAACCATGATTTTTTCAGTTGTAAAATCAACCATTCAAAGGTGGACTGGTTAAGGCTTCTAGTTTCCTATTACTTAAGGATACGAACAAAGCTTACTCTGCACAGACATTTTCATGCCATTGTAACCCACTAAGAACAGCCAGCAGTTTCAAAGTATCATCCATCACATTATAGGACTGCTGGTCTGGGGACCTGGTGACTTCTGGATTTTGTCTTCTCCAAGATGAAAGGAAAATTTTTACCTCTAGAAGAGCATCAGCTGAGTCGTGAAGACAGAGGACCAGGGTCCCTACTCGGGCCATGTTGTTGACATATGAAAAGCTTAACAAGAAAATACTTGCAAGGTGGTGCAGGAACATAATGCCGAAGTCCTGAAGGAAAGAAAAACAAAATAAAGTCAGTGTTCAGCAACATCATGGTATTTCCACCAATCTATTTAATCTCTAAGCAACACATGCAGAGAACCTCCACAGCTGTAGCACCGGGGTATTTAAGTGGTTAAGATGCAGCTCCTGTCCTTTTGAGATTGGGAAAGATATACAAGTGACCAGTCCATGGAGATGGGATCAGCACTGTGATCAAAGTTGGATCACAATGGGAGTAATCACCACAGGATTTCAAGCAAAGAAAAGTACTACTTAGACTTGGTTTTCACTCTGTCATCTTTAAATGTCCCACAAATGTCCATGCTTAAAGGCTAGACCCAGTATATGGTGCTACCAGAAGATGAGCCTGGTGGGATGAAGTTAGGGTATTGAATGCTCTTGAGAATGCTGGAACCTGGGCCATTTCCTTTTTCTCTTATTTGCTGGCTGTCACAAGGTAAGTAGCTTATTCCACTATTCATTCCTTGCTCAATATAGTATATTGCTATAGACCCCAAAACAACATGCCAATCATCCATGGACTAGAAAGAACATCTAAAAATAGGAACTAAACCAACTGTTTTTTCTTACAAATGTATTTGTCTCATATATTTTGTTATAGGTAATAGAAAAGTAGCTAACAAACTTGAAGATCTTTGGGACAACAGTAATATCTATTTTTCTAATATTTAGTGGTTGCAGTTTTGAAAGACACACAGACACCAACACAAAGAGACACAAAGACACAGAGATACAGAGACACAGAGACAGACAGACAGACAGACGCACACACGCACGCGCACACACACCCACACACACATCACACACACATGGAAATGAATACAGAGGTTTGCATGTGCTAGAGAAACACTCTAACATTCTGTATTCCCATCTCTTGAATCTTCTTCTTCTCCTCCTCCTCCTCCTCCTCCTCCTCCTCTTCTTCTTCTTCTTCTTCTTCTTCTTCTTCTTCTTCTTCTTCTTCTTAAGATAGTTCTTACTAAGTTGCCTAGTCTGGCTTTGAACTTGCAATTTTCCTGCCTTAGCTACTTGAGTAGTTGGGATTACATGCCTGTGCCATCAGGCTCAGATATACACAATATTGTTATTTTTAAACACGTGGTATATTTGAAGAAATATCCAGTTAAAAGTAAGGAGACAAGGAGCCCTGACTCCCAGGATGGACAGTCTCTGTTGGTTACATGAAGCCCAATGAACAACATATTCAGGCTTATAGTAACTCAGTGTTCTAAATGCTTATGTCTTCTTTGCCCCCAAATTCATGTTAAATCCTAATGACCAAGATGAAGGTGTTAGGGGGTTCGAACTGGGTAAGTCATGACAAGTATTAATGTCTCTAAAAATGAGACACCCAAGACAGCAACACCGCCCCATCAGTTATATGAGGACATAGCCAGAGGCTATGGACCAGGAAAGAAGCCCTCACAGGATGCTAAGCCTGTTAATGTTTGAGCTAAGATTCATAAGCCTCTAGACTTGGAAGGAATACATTTGCCTTGTTTTATGAGCTGCCAATATTGCATTTTGTTCTGGAAGTCTATGCAGACTAAGAGGTAGTGACTGATTTTATTATTGCATGACTTTCTTGGGATGTGCATCTCACTGTTAGTGTGCTTCCTCTGGAGCATGCCCACTGGGTACCAAAGTAGGAGCCCTACAGGCTGGGTTTTCTAGTAGGAATAGAGGAACAGAGGCTACAACAGTTATTATCTTTATTGGTTTCTTTTGGCTACTACCATTATTTTTTAGTTATTTTATTCTTACTTACGTATATGTTATATAAATACATGTCCCATGTGTACAGTGCCCACAGAAGCCAGAAGAGGGCATCAGATCCTCTTGGAGTTGGAGTTAACAGCAGTTGTGAGTCACCTGGCATGGGTGCTGGGAACCAAACTTAGCAGTAAGCTAGCTCTTTTAACCACTGAGCCAGTTCTCCAGCCCCAACTACCATCACTTTAAAAAAATAATTTATTTGGTGCATAGAAAATAACCATTCTATTGTTCAATCACTGGTCTGAAACTATCCTAGGTAACCATATCTGTACTGATAGATCGATGGTAATGGTAAAATTCTTTCCAGGGCTTCAAAGGTGATTTTATTTACGACACTAGAGTAGCTATAGACTACCTGCAGGTACTCCTTTGCAATCCTCCCAGTCCTCACTGTAAGGTAACAAGGCTGTTTGCATTTTACCCCCACCTTGCACCCTCTATTGGGATAACTCTCCAGCTTGTTATGAGGAGGAGTATGGGCAAGAGTCCTCAGGCTGTCATTCAGTCATTCAGCGAAGTTACACTGACTTTTTCTGACACAGATGCATGAACAACTAGCTTGGATACCACCCTCAGTTCTCCGTTGATTTAAACTCATCCTTTGTTCCTGTGGAACATAGCAGCCTTAGGTTTTCTCTTCCTGACTTGTCTTGTTCTTTCCCCTCTACAACTACTTTGGATCCAGGGCCTCTGGTCTCCTACTTACCTGTCCTGGTCCCACAGTCACCTTTTCTACAATTCAGAAAAGTATCTGTTCCTAAATTCTAGTCCCTCGTTTAACTCAATTAAACAACTTCTTTTTAGACGTTTCCACTACTGTGGTTAAATCATGAAAGATCAAGAGAATTGTGACAGGGGACTTACAGCAGGGTGACTCTTAAAGACCTCAGGAGTCTTATTTAGCTTAGTTGGCAATTATGAAGCACATACTGCAAGACAGGCAGCTTGTAATCTATCAAGGTTCCAAAGCACTAGCTTTGTAATTTCTGGTAAAGGCACCAACTTCCTCATTTTACAATGAAGATGTTAGATCAGATCTTTTTCAGCTGTCAATTCTGTGACTCTCATCTCAGTAGCTCCAGTGACTGACCCTTGAAGCCTTTAATCTACTAATTTCAGACCTGTCTAACTTAAGAAGAGACTAAGGAAGCATACCCACTCATATGTAGGAAGAACATGCAGAAGCCCATTCAAAGCCCCCACCTCTCTCTATTTTACACATAATTTAGTAGCTGTTGATATCACTACACTCTACATTTTGAAGAGTCTCCCTCTACACCTTTAATAGTTATAGGTTTGCATTCACTTTGGTGAAGATGCTTAAGTTACTATGGTCCCCAGGAAAGTGCCCTGCGTAGATAACCACATATAGGACTTACCACTGAGATCTAAACCATGTGCTAGTTCCCTCAATGAGATCAGATAATTAATAACTAAAACAAGGATTTATTTTCAATTAACTCAGTCTCTAAATTAGTGTGGTGAGGCACTGACAGTGACCACCAGTTGAAGGAGAATAATTTGTTTTGCATCAGTTAACATTTTGGCCCACAGCAGAACAAATTCATACCACCTGCTAACCCACAACCACTCTCCCTCCTTGGATACAGGGAGGCTTTACATTATTTCTGAGCTCAGAGACAGATGAGAAATGAGGGGCACAGTTAGTTGAATGAGTAATTGCACACAGGTACAACATATGTTTCTGAAGCTACTGAAATTCCTTCATTCTTTGAAGTACCCAGAGCTTTCCTATGTTTCTAAAGACAGACGATGCCAAAGGCCTTGGGCAGACATTACTGTCTTGGTGATGTCTTCCAAGAGAAGATGCAATCTGTTCCGTACCACCTGGAAAATGGTGTTTTACCAGACACAACACTTCAAAACAATGGCTTAACAAAGTAGAGCTAACCCATGGACTGGTGTGTTAAACTTCTTCTTATACAGGAACAAATTAAAACACACAGTGTTTGGTTCATGAGCCTAATAAGTTTGTATTTGCTTATGCTTAACAGACAGCTTTGGACATCCAAGTAGCTTAAGTACCTCACAACAGTAATCCCACCTTCCCCACTATTTAGCCCCAAATGGCTGCTCTCAGCTTACTGAAAGAGAAAAAAAGGTTTTTCTCAAGTTAATTTTAAAATTACATAAATACATGTTAATTGATTAAAGCACTTGTGGAAGATTAGGGCCACTTACTAATTAAATTTCCTAATTCATATCTATAGCAATGCAATGCTGTCAATATAACAAGGCACCTTCAAAAATAAAAGCACTGTTTTTCAGATAAAATTTGCTTTGTGAAGATGATTTCTGACTATAAATCCCCTTGTTCTAAAAAGTGGAAAAAAAAAAGCAAGTTTGTTTTATTATCACACTTGCAGCCACAGCAGAGGACCAATTTCCATTATATTCATATCTACATAAACAGGGAAAAGCAGGAATAATGGTCTTGTCTTATATTTCTGCTTCAGAAAGTCTTAGACACATCAAATCTCTCTAAGAAAAGTCACACAGTCCCGACACCGTGTCTCTCACATCCTGTCATCCCAACACAGTTCTTTGATCCAAATAACTGCTTTTAAACAAGTTGTCAATTTGGAGGAGAATTTCCATTCTCCCACTTGTTACTGCTGGAAATGATAGTGTCTGTAGACACAAGCTTGGCTCAAATAATGCTAGGCTTTAGGTTGACAATGTTTTCCAAAACATCTTCTGCAGGAGGAATTCAGAGACTGAGATTCATTGTTGGCCTTCAGGTTAGTGATTGATTCCAAAGAGACTAGCGCCACCCCTTGCCGAAACAATGATCCAAACTACCTGTTTTACTATTTTGTTTGTGGACATTATGGTGTGGTCCTCAGGAGTTCCCTCTGTGTTCCCTGAACCTGGGCCATTCTGTCAGTATTTCCTCACATGTTAGTTATCAGAGACAAGAAAAAAGGAATCGGATGCTGTTTTGACCCAAATTCCATTAGAAAGAATTGAAGAACAAGTCATCCATCTTATGCCAAAATTTAGCAAGACAGGGCAAGCTCTCCCTGCCCCCACCATTATATTTCCAAATAGTAAATATGTGAGCAACAACAGAGTGTCTTGTTATGCCTCTGTCAGAGACACCTGGGCACACAGAATGCAGCCACCTGGGCTCAGTCTCCAACTGGTAAGAGAAGAGCCAGCATCTTTACTCCTGCAGGGAATTTATA